CCTTTTATCATATAGCTTCCCGTGCAAATGCACGGGTAAACAACTAGTTCTATTAATCAATAGCTGAATAAATGCAATTTTACACCAAAATGGAATAATAGTACTATCATTTAATAGCACCTACCTATGTGTGGATGAGCTTCTCCAAAAGAAGCCTATTCTATTAAATTCCAAGCACAAAGGCAGTACATATGATTATGAAGCTGGTAAGCTAAAAACATATATACAAAAATTAAAAATCAAAATATTTGCATTATAATTAAAACTAGATTGAAATTATAGACTGGTTACTTAGGAAAAATAAATAAATAAATAATTGCCATGTGTTGGTTCTTATATGGTTTCATACTTAGAAGAGTGGCTCTTTAATTTTTAATTTATTTTTCTAAGTCTTATTCTTGTTTGGTTCTTACTTTAATTTTCTTGAATTGTCCATAGTGATTTTTTTTTTTATTTTTTTTTTCTCTCCTAGTAAAGTGCCCCTTTTCAACAAGAAGCCATTTTTACCAGTTTGTGCTGAAATGTTAATCCATAGTCATACTGATTAACTTTGTTCATATCATGAGCTGCATTTTAGAGCCTAACCAAAAACCAGAAGAAGCCCAAATAGCGATACAAATAGCCATAAGATAAAAATTTTTAACTGTTATAATAGATCTTCTCGTAAAATCGACTGATTCGTGTCCGATTTTCGAACAAAGATCCTACAGATAAACACTCAAGTGTTTTGTCTCGGCACCACGGCCTAAGGACAGCCTCGTACGAGACGTTCTGTTTTTGTAGGTAACGGTCAGCTCATAATCCCCAAGAAAACCCGAGAAGTTAAAGTTGCCACGCTCGTTTGTTTTTCCCTCGACTTTCTCGGTCTTCCATTCTTCGAGCAACTTGTCCACCGTGTCGCCACTAGGGAGGTTTTTGAAATCGTAATCCGTTAGGCACATTTGGTAGCATCCTTTGCCGTCCGGGTGTGGTGCCATCCAAAGCATTATCCCGTCTATCGAAGGATGCGAAAAACCTTCTTTTAAAACCACTTCCAAATTCTTGGCCTGCAGAGAAAACACAGATGTTCGGTTAATAGAGCCGTTAAAAACCGAGCATAAATATGTAGAGGTGCACAAATTCGGTTAACTGAGCCGAACTGAACAAAACCGAAATAAAATGTTGGGTTTTCGGTTTACATTTTATAAAAAATTCTATTTTCGGTTCGGTTTGGATAATAGTGATTGGTTAACTGAACCGAAATCAGATTTATGCATATAAGGTATAAAAATATTAGTTGCTTCAATGATTGATGATTTCGAGTTTCAATAACCACTAAAATTGCTCAAGCAATAATTTGTACTAAAGATTGACTTCATCATAGTAAAAGTCATGGTTCGAGTCCGAGATTTTCCTTATAAGAGAATTTTGGAATTTATTGAGAAGATTTAAACAAGGCGATAAAAAGTAAATTTTTTTCGTTCGGATAAAAAATGAAATTTTTAGTTCAGTCAAAAATTTAAAATTTATTGAGAAGATTATTTATTGTGATTAACCGATAACCAAATCGAACCGACAACTGGATATTCTGTTAAAAATCAAACGGAATCATAAATTTCGATTTGGTTTTTGGTGCTAACAATGGATAAACCGAATTTTTGATCGGTTTGCTCCGGTTTCGACCAAATGAGCAGCCCTACAAATATGGACCTACTACGTTGTACAAATTTGCAGGTTTTCATACTGACCTGTGTTTGAGGATCAAATTCTGAGCTGATATCCACTTCGGTCATCCAAATCGGGAAACCAAAGCTCGCCAGCTTGTCTATCGTGCCCCGGATGAGGGCTGGGTTCGGCTCGGTAAAATGGGCCTGAAGCCCAATCCCGAGGCTTCGGACCCCACCGGCAACGAGGCCACGCAGCCTCGCCACATAGCGATCCACTGCACACCTGGCGTCGCAAGTCTCCATCACGTTGAACTCGTTCATGAACAGGCGTGCCCGTGGGCTGGCCTCCTGGGCTGCCAGGTAGAAATCCAGGCTGGCGTCCGGGCCCAGTCTCGGGCCGTAGAAATCCCACGGCAGCATCTCGTTGTCCACATCCCAGCCCACAAACTCATCCTCGTATTTCGACATCACGCTTTGTATTCTTGATTTGACGGCTGATTTCAGCTGCTCCGGGCTCGTCAGGTTCTTGACCCATGACGGGACCATGTATTCGGCCTCCCACAGCACGTTGTGGCCACGGGCCGTGACTTGGTTTGTTCGGAGAAAATCGAGCATTTTGTCGGGAACCGTGTAGTTGACTTTCCCCTGCTCGTACTCGGTAAAGTTCCACTTCAGCTCATTTTCGAACACGGCTGTATTGAACCGCTCGAGGAACCATTTCTGTTTTTTTGCTCAAAAAAAAAAAAAAATAGAAACATATGATTTGCCATCTTTTAAAACTTTAATAGAGGATTGGGCTTTTGATTTGATGATTTGATCTTACTTGGTAGGCCGGATTTCTTAGAATAAACTCGGAAATGGCTGTCCCGAATGGAAAGTCTCGAGTGACTTGCTCAACGATGACTTTGGCGTCGGGCAACCTTTTCCCGTCGACACTCAAGACATGTAAAGTCGTCGACCGTTTTCTTTCCTGCATTAAATTGTTAACTTGTGAGTTCTAGGGTTGCAAACAAGTCGAGTACTCTAAATTGTTAACTTTTGAGTTCTAAGGCTGCAAACGAGCCGAGTCGAGCATTTGTCTTATCGAGCGAGATTGATTTTTCTTTTTTACCTGCTCGAGCTCGATTTATGACGCTCGAGATCGACTCGACAAAAGAAGACAATCGCTCGAGCTCGGCTCGAGATCGACTCCAAAGACTGCTCGAGCTCGGCTCGAGTTCGATTCAAATTTCAAGCAAAATTATCATTAAGTACAAATTTATACATAAGGAGTATTTTAGCAATTCACTACATATCTCGAGTTGTTACTTTCCAAAAACTATGCTCAAGATCAATTCGAAAACATGCTCGAGGCACTTGAGTTCGGTTCGAGTTCGGTCAAACTCGAGCACGAGCCAAGCTTTGACTGGAGCCGCTCGGTACTTTTGCAGCCCTACTTGTGACTAAGAGATTCTTCTTTTCTTTTTCTTCATAACAGTATGAAATTTATAGTATTTGATTATTTGTATTTACATACTTTATCTATAATGTTCTGTTGGTTCTTTTCCCATTGCTGAATGGTGAATGGCTGAACCGAAGCACTGGAAATCGACACATTCATCCGTAGCCCGTCTTCATTCTGCATGAGACGAGACAAAATGCGTATCATATCATTATTTTTACTATTATTATAAATAAATTTGCACGACTGGATGTATTTCGATTTTCGAAGTACCTTAAAGTATATACGAGCTTGTTCTATAGTCGAGTCGAGAGAAAATCCACCCTTGAGGAAAGTCCAGCACCCGGACCTAGCAAGAACGGTCCCCGTGCAGTTGACCAAAGTTAAATTACCACTTACCAAGCTCGTCTGAATCAGAGCCGATTTTTGGCCCGTTATCTTAACCCAACCTGTCGATCATCACCAAAAATTTTAACATTCATGTATTATTATTCGGGATTGGAATTCATCTGTATCATTTATTTACGAGGCGAGCTTAACTGGAAAATGTGTAGATTGTGTCGGGCTTGAGGTTATTCAGGGAAAAAACAGAGGAGTTTATCGGGATTTGATCGACTGCTCGGTTCTTGAAGATGCCACCATTGTAGAGTGGTTCCTCAGGAACTGATTTGCACTGATAAACACAATATGGAGAAATTTATTCACAAAAGTCTATGCAAATATAGAAATATACATTTTTGTGCAATTTATGATCATTTCATTCAACTATCTATTTACCTCGGTGCTTGCGAAATAATCGTACGACGGTTCGTCGTTTGAAGAAGTAAAGGTGCTCGTCGAGGATCGGACAAGAATGGCGAGCCCCAGTAGTAAAATGAATGCAAAGTTCTTCATGGCTTGTGAAAAGAGAAAAAATATATTGAAGGTTATACCTGCAAACAAAGGGACCATATTATGAAATTTTTACAGCATGGATCAAGAGAATGTATTTGGTCATAAAAGACAAAGCAAGGATAAAACAAAAAAATTTCAAATTCAAATGTGAATTTCCCAGGTTTTTTTGGAATTTATGTGACCTATTTTCTTGCTTATATTGTCTGTTGCTGTTTTTGGAGGTTTTTATACTTTTGTATGATTGAAGAAATTAGATTGAATTTCCATTCATGCCCTTGAAGACAAACTACTCTTTCAAGCACAAGAGGAACAAATCCCATAAGAAATTTTGAATGATGGCTTTAAATATTGGCAAGAAAATTACAAATTCTTTTAAAATAGTCGTCCCGTCATACTATTTGAACAAAAATATTTATACCATCAAAATATCATACTTCTGTTTATATTATTTATTCGAAATATGACATTTTTGAATGAAAGTATGCGTGATTATTAAAAAAGTGTATTCACATAATGGTTAGGCCGGCCTAATTCAAGACCAACTTAAAGAAAACACTTATACATAAACCTTTGTTCTTGTAGTTGAGTGCTGTTATGAGGTAATAATGAAAAAAAATTAAAGGAAAATAAATATAATAAGCTGCATGAATATATTACCTTCAAAAAAATGTTTCTGTAAATTAGTTGTGTCTGTCTTAATATTTGAGTCTATCTATATATATATAAAAAAAAAAGGTAAATAGTTGTGAAATATTTAAAGAATTTAATGGAGGAGAATTAACAAAGGTTATTGAAGCTACTACTTTTAAGCTGAGTCATACATTAAAAATAAAAATAAAAAATAAAAAAATTCATATCCTATGTTATTTCCACATATTTTTTCTTGAACATGACTGTAAGAATTAACAATTACAAATATTAGATCTTCATTAAAGTAGACAATTAGATCTTCATTAAAGTAGACAAATATTGGTGAATGTCAATTCAATATTCTATTAATGAAAAATTAAACAAATTCAATTTTCCATCAAAATGGATCATGTACTGTGACTACTATTGATTAATTATTTAATAGCATCTATGTGTAGATAAGCCCTATATTTCTAGTAAGTTCCAAGAATTAAGGCAATACATATGAACTGGACAAAGTCATTATAAACCTAGACTGCAATTAT